GATTTTAAAAGTACACTGGTCTAAGACTGAAATTCTGCTTTTCTCTCTGTTAGAAAGACAAAGTTTTCTTGGACTGTTGGTTTGCACTTGATAAGAAACTTAAACAAGGTTTTTTATTTTCTTTGCCCAGAAAAAACAAAGTTTCTATGTTTTGTCTTTATTGGGTTTTTGATTACTAAAGAGAGCTAAGACATCTCAATATTACAGGAGATGTTTTTTTTTTTTTAAAGATTTTATTTATTTATTTGACAGAGAGACACAGCGAGAGAGGGAACACAAGCAGGGGGAGTGGGAGAGGGAGAAGCAGGCTTCCCGCTGAGCAGGGAGCCCAATGCGGGGCTCGATCTCAGGACCCTGGGACCATGACCTGAGCCGAAGGCAGACGCTTAACGACTGAGCCACCCAGGCACCCCTTACAGGAGATAAGTTTTACCGACAACCATATAACGCTATGTATTTGCCTTTGGAATCTCTTACTGCCACCTTGGTTAATAAATAATTAAGTTTTAAGTTTTGTAATGATCTGTAATCCCATTTAGGCTTGTGCTTTATAACTTTTTGAGGATTGATTGATTGATTTAAAGAAAGGCAGTCAGAGCATCCTCACCTCCTTTCTGAGGTCTTTTTAAACAAAATTCCCAAGATTCAAATGCTAAATGACATCTTTTTGCCTAATTGAACTTGTTTATTTGGGATGTTAAATTCCATGGGAAGCATTGTCAAACCAAAGATGATAATCATTGGGTGGTATTGTATGGGTAAATGCTATGACTGTTTCAGAAATTACATGAAATTCCTAAAGTGTTAGCATGTCCTGGTGTAAGGTCATTACTTGAATTATTGAAATGTTGTGTGTCACAGAAACAACCAGATTTCCTTGTCACCTGCATTAGAATGAGCTCGCTCTTTAACCATGGCCATTTCTGAGTCTTTTGTCACTTATAGTCAGTGTTCTAATGGTCTTGCAAAATGTGTTTTGTCTTCAAGGAGATTCATGAAAAGAACTTTTGACAAATACAGGTTTCTGATATCTTTAAGATCATAAAACTATGCTGAGTAAAAATTTCCAGAGTTAATGAAAAATTGCATTCAAACAGAACAAGAATTAGTAACATGGGACCAAGTGAATTGAGGAAGATGATGATAGTTGTTTTGACTTTTGTTTGAAACACTGCTGGTTCTCTAATGTTTGCTCTTCCAGATTTAAGAAAACTTTCTCTTAAGATATCTATGACTTCATAGAAATATGATAAAATATTCTTTTGTGAACAAACTGAAACATTCAACTTTTCTCCCTACCAGAACCCTTCAAAATTCAGAAGCTCTCAATTAATATTCTTTCTTTCACGGCAATTATGATCATTTCCTAAGTTCTATAAGATTCTGATTTTGTGACAGAATACTGCTGGATATGACCAGACAGCTTTAAGGAACTAAGTTGACTTTATAGAGCATGAAGCCAAAAGAGCCCCTTGGAAATGTTGGCCTGATACCTTGCTTACAGAGTTCCCAGCAGCCCTACCAGGTGAGTAAAGAATGTCACTTCCTGGCTGGCACAGGAAAACTCAGGATACTTTGGGGACCTCAAGAACAGGAATCTACAGGTATTTCAGGTGTGTCTGATTCCAAGTATTTGGCTTGGCTTCTGGCCTTGAGAGCCTATTAAAAGTTCAATCCAGAGATTCCCTATGAAAAGTTCCAGCAAAGCAAGTTTGAAAGAATCTATATGATTTATCACTATTCTTACTGAGCTTATTTAAATAATTAGGCAAACTTTGTTAGAATTGGACTTGTTTTTCAAATGAATTAGTCTTGATTTGGCCCTCTTCGAAAATGAGGGTGATTTTAGAGAGAAAAATAATGTTTCAATAACACATCTTTGTGGATATTAAATTCTAGTCCTGATTATCTTTGAGTGTTTGTTGTTTGCCTAAGCTAGACAACTTGAAGTAAACTTCAGAGAAATTGTCACAATAGCACACGTATAGACAATCCTCATGCTTTTTATTCTGTGGGGATAATAACAGGATCCTGTGGCATATGATTATTTGAACTCAACTCTCACCTTGACCAATTCAATGTGGCCAGGATGACAAAATCACTCCTTAAAAGCTAGAGTGAGTGTTCCCCACTCCATGGGTTTAGACTTGTAGAAATAGTAGATGGTCCCACTTCCCTTGTCACTGGATAGAGGATGTACTTGGGGGTGCGCATATCCAGACAGGTCTTCTCCCACTTGCCAGAGATTCCTCAGAATTAGGATATTGTTAAGGTTACACATCAGGCAAAGAGGGACTCTTGGTGGTTTTATCCCTTTGCCGTATTTGTCCTAGGAACCACCTCTGTTGATGTAAAACTGCGAGTAGAGGCTTTAAGCCAAGCATACAGTGGCCACCTTTAACCAAATCTGACACTCAGTCACCCACAAATTTGCAAGGTGCCTTTCCAAAACTGAATGGCCCTTGGTGTCTTGACTGCAGGTCACAGAGGAACTTGGACTCTCATTAAAACAGAGTGCTGTGTATGTTCCAAATTACCTGAAAAATGTAACTGAAGTCATGAAAAAAGTAACTGAAGTCATGAAAAATTTGGGCAAACATATCACAGCTATATTGCCCTTGCTGTAAGTTTTTTTTAGCAGTTGGGTAAATTCAATACCTTCCAAATGGAAATATACCCTATTAAGCATTACTGTATTTCTTGTTCTCCTTCTCTTTGGTTGTTGTTTGACTTTTTACATTTGTCAAGCCAGAGCTCATGCTATTGGTAATGGCTTGGAGTTGCCCTTACTTTCCCCCTCAGTGCAAATGCCAGAAACAAGATTCTCCCACTCCATAAAAGTCTTCCACTCCAAAATCCCTTTGTCATCCTGATCAGCAGGAAGTAGCTACAGAAGACAGACCTACAGAAGACAGCCCCTAATCCATGGTTACGGAATGAGGAAATCGACAGTGGGGATTTGTAGCAGTCCAGCTGGTCTTACGGCTTAACTTGTTCAAGGTAACACACTCCGTGCTTGCTGACCTAAGGCCCTTGATCTGTCACCAAACTAATTTCCTTTCTTTGAGATTTGCAGGCCACTGACCTTGGGGAAATGAAGGACCAGAAGGTCCCCAGGCCACAGAGGCCAGAAGTCTGTTTGAAGCTGCCGGGGCTTTCTGATCAGCCCAGCAATTTGTTGGCAAAAAGTTTTCCTTTTTTAAGGTTACACACATGACTTAACTGACCTCACTTTGTGCATCTGTAGACCTCGCTCTCCTTTGCAGAAAGAAGAGTCAAGTTTTGATTGGAAAGGAATATGAGCTTTATTCAAGAGGCTGGTCACCTGGGGAGAAGGAAGACTCTTGTCCAAAGGCCAACTCCTGGTTTTCTGCCTGGTGCAGGGATGTGTAAAGGGGTTTGATCGGATAAGGGAGCGCAGTGGGTTGTGACATTTCTTGACCACGTGCAGACCGATGAGGTCAGCTACAGAGTTATCTCAGTGCTCCCAGGTTGTGCCAGGAGTTCTGGTTCCTTGGTACCCAGGGGTGGTTGTGCAGCAGTTCTCTGTTGAATATTGGCCTTTCAGTAGACGGGCAGCTGAACTTGGGTTTTGGTAACCCTCCAGGTGGAGTAGACACATTATAGGCAAAAGGAAGGAACTCCAGTTGCATTTCCTTATCACTGGGACATGGCCCCCAACATGGATTGGGCTCTCTCACAGCTTCCCCATCCCCAGGATGCCCAGGCCACCCCTCGCACCCTCCCAGTCCAGGATTTGGACCTGTGAAAGCACCGAAAGTTGGAAATGATGTAACTTGACTGAAAAATAAACACAGAGGATGACTCCTGTTTCCATAGTTAGTTAGCCTAATTAGGTGTTTATCAGCCTATATATTTAGTGTAATTCTATGTATCCCACTGCATGCAGCACCCACATAGGGTACTCCTGAGTGCCTGGTAGTTTCCAAGATAGATCGAGGATCCAAAACCTCAGAGCTTTCTGGGAGGAAGGAATCCAACCTAAAACAGAGCAAGAAAAAATTACGTGGCAAGGACCACCAGCGATCAACCCGACCCCCACCCCCACCAGGTGGCTATTGAGTAGAACAACAGCCACCTGGTGAAGGAGACAATGAACAGTGTCTTAACAACAGTGAAGGAGAATGGCTGAGGAGGCACAGGGCACCAAGCATGTGTCAGTCACCAGGGCGGCTGGCTTCTGTTGTGACAACGGCTGGAGACACGGGACCACAGTGAGTCCCAGGCCTGACGTGCCCAGACCAGGGACCCGGCCAGCAGGAGCTGTGCCAGAGCATGGGGCTCATGGCGAGGGGAGTCAAGGCTGGGTTGGTGGGGCGAGTAGAGACAAAGACCACTGGGGCAGTGGAGCAGGGATGCTGGGAGGACCAGGCTCACTGTGAGGCCACCTGGGCTCCGGGGCTGGCTCAGGCTGGACGCTGGCCTGATTGTTTCTCGAGGGAATTAGTGGAGATTAAAATCGCCTAAAATTGCCTGTCAGGCCTGTAAAGCCACTTTATGTAAAATACCACTGGGGAAAAACAAACATTACATTGTTTGCTGTCTTTTGGATGTTTTCTATTTATTTTGCAAGAATAAAGCTAGCAATGAGAGTGGATTGTGATACCCCTCCAATTTTCATGACAAAGCCTCAGGAAGAAAGGAAATTTATTACATTCTTATATACTCTTGCTGATAATGTAGAGGTTTTTTTTTTTTTGTTATTAAAATGGCTTTTAAATGGCAGCACCCATTAAATGGTTTTTTTCCTTCTCAGCTGAGTTAAGAGCTCTTCTGTGTTGGACCCTGGCTGTCCCTGGATAGTTAATAACAAAATGAAGCCAAAACACAGCTCTGTGGTCAGAGTCAGGAACCTGTGACTAAAAACTTACTTCCTGCACCCCAGCTGCACGGACCGATTATTTAAATATACCACAAGCACAGCAACTTAAAATACTTGTGAATTCTGTTTCTTTCCTCCTTGTCATTTAGGAGAGAAACCTTGCAAATATAGGTCCCAAGAGAGCATCACATCTTCCCTGTGATGGAGGGCTGGAAGGAGTTCTGGAGAAATGTGAATTCCTGGCGTGACTAACGGCGGGAGCGGCCTCTTGGCTTTCCTGAACGTGAACCTTCTCCAAGATGCGAGGGACAGCACCCCACACTTTACGGAACCAGACAGAGCCAAGTTGTCTCCGGATGGTTCGGGGTATGGATGGGATGAGCCCTTAAGTGTATGTAGCCAGGGGTCCCAAGGCGATGGCTTCCTGATTCCATGCACACGTGAGGTCACTGGAATCCAGAGCCGGGCAGGCAGCAGTCCCTGGAGAGCGCCAGGGTGTGGACAAATGTCCGAGTCAGACATGCAGGGGAGGCATCTGGCTCCTCTACTTTTTGGCCACCAGCCTGGAGGTACAGGGTCAAATGACACCGTGGTGGGGACTGTGTAGACACGGCCATGGGGCCTCCTGCTTTCCCACGCTCCTCTCATCTTGCCAGGAGACCGTGCTGGAGGTGGAGCCCCAGGTCTGGACAGTTGGTCCCATTGGGCTCCAAGGCCACAGGCCAGGCCTTGTGACCATGAGGGACCCACCCCCACTGCTGGAGGAGCACCAGAGAAGACCCTGCGGGGCCCTCCCGCTCTCTAGGGCTTCCCTTGAGGACCACTCCAGCTCCGTCATCATCAAAGGCAGACGCGCTATTCATAAATGTTTTCCTGGCAGGGCTGAAGAAGAGGCAGCAATCAAGTAAAATTGCACATCAGACTTTCTGGGGCCCCTGCCCTCTCTTCCAGGAGACTGCCCACGACGAACCATGTCTGCAGAGGAAAACGTGAGTGTGCGGGCCGCCCTCCCATCTGCCATGGTCCCAGTGTGGATTGCAGCGAGGAAGGTGGGACAGGTGGCTTCCGCTGGGACCATTGCCCTGCAGGTGTGCTCTCTCACACTCGGCAGAAGTTGTCCTCAGCAGACACCCGTCCTGATTTGGCCCTCTGTCTCCACAACAGGTGACGAGCCTCTTCTAGGCCACGTGGAAAGAGCACATGGCCTTCTCTCCTGGGTTGCTGTGCACCAGGCCACTCTCACCAACAGGTCAGATGGCGGCTACCCGGCAACAGAGGAACTGAGTTCCCACCTTGCTTTCCCTCTTCATTTATTCAGGACTATCTTCATGACTGGTCTCTCATCAGATCAGATTTGGGCTGGGAAACAGGTGTATGGAGTCCAGGGTGACTCAGGAGTCAGTGAGTGCTTGGGCCGCACGGGGCTGGCCGTGGCAGGGGATGTGGTACTTACTGGTCCAGAGACCTAAGGCTTGATGATGCAGCTGATGGTTTCTGCTTCCCAAGCTGTTGGGCTGAACGAGACAAAATCTCCGTGTTTATTTAATACAATTACAGCTGTTACAACTTGTGGGTTTGTAAAACCCCGAATGTAATCATGCGACACCTCTGAACGTCCTACTCAAACTGAGAAACCCAGCGCTCCCATGGAGCTTTGGCGACAACCCTCCCAAGCTGGCGAGAAGTGTCCAGAGCTTAGCAGGTGTTAGGTGAGAATGAAGGGTGGGGAGCGGTGTAAAAGTTGGGGGAGAAGAGAAAAGAACACCCTAGAGCAGTATCTGCTGTCTTTGGCATTCTAGAATTGGCCCTTGTCAGATGTGGCCCCGGTGACCTGAGTGTCACTAACTGTGAACTTGGGTCAGTTTTGTCATCTGTGGAAGACTAGAGGACCCCTAGCCCCTTTCAGTTCTAACCCTCTTACTGCTTCTTCCCCGCAGTGATGCTGGGCCCCCAGCCCTCTCTGGGAGATTGTGGGTGCTCCTGAGGATGGGGGCCTGGAACCACCATCCCCAAGCCAAATGGCCCCTTCCTCTGACCTGAAATGTCTGTGTGTGAGTATGTGCAGACCCTCAGGATCTCTGGGGCCGCCGGTCACATATGCAGAGTGCCCAGGGAGCCTGCAGCTTGGCCTGTGAGCTGGCAGTTATAAAGTCCCAACCAAGGCCCCCAGAGACCGTAGGTATCCTCTTCTGGAGAGGGAACTGTCCAAGAAGATGGCTGAGCACCATCTCATGGTTCTTGATCTCCCACCCAAGACGAAGTTCTCAGGCTCAGTGAGGTGGTGACTGGGAGGTTCGTTTGGGGGTGGTTGTTGGTGTCCTGTTGTTGGAGCTCCACGACGGAGCTGGGTCTGATCCTAAGTTTGGGGAGGGGGCCTCCCGAGCTCCCCTGGGTAGGTGCCCGGCCCCGCCTGGCTCCTGCCTGAAAACCCAAGGGTGAGGCTCAGTGGCTCTTGGGCCCCAGGTGGACTGAAGAGCAGGTATTGCAGAGCTGGGGTAAGGGATGCGAATGTTTCCTGACCGCTGTGGGCTGGGGACAGAGCCTTCGGGGAGCTTGGGACTCTACCAGCGGGGCCCCTGCCGGCTCCCATGGGAGCCGTGTGTGTGTGTGTGTGAGGTGGGCAGCCAGAAACCAGGGATGGGCAGGGAGGCCGCGGCCAGAATAGAATCGGCTATACCACCGCCTGGAAGGCACCACAAGATGGGGCCAGGGAAGTCGCTGAGCTCCCTCAGAGGCCCCGAGCAGGGGTCAGCCCTGTGCAAGGGCAGGAGACCTCAGACTGCAGCTGGGGTCAAGAGAGAGTGTGGTTTCTCTGGTGAGGATGGCAGGGAAGGGGTCACCTGGCCCCAGCCTGTGTTCCTGCCACTCTAGACCCAATCCGGGAGGCCGTGGGGAGAAGGCCCTTCTCTGATGGAGACAGAGGCAAGACCACGTGGCGTTTCCAGGCCCAGGGAGCAGAGTGGTGCAGTCCCGAGCGTATGGGCCATAGCCGGCCCCGCGGGGCTGGTCCTGCCAAGCACTTTGCTGCTGGTGACCACAGGCCAGGAGAGCTGGAGGCCACTGCGCGTGCCAGGGGAAGGAAGCTCCTGGGGCCTTGCTCGACAAGCTCCAACAACAGCACAGGGGCCCTTTTGCTACCCCAGGCCATGCCTGAGCTGACCTTCCTTCTGTTCCCTGGAGCCCCTGGCCCGTCCCGCCTGCCAGTGACCCTCAGCCGTCCTGGTCCCAGCGAGCACTCGGCCTCCTCTCCTTCTGTCCTGCCTCTGCTCACGATATTCCCGGCCGGAGCAGCTCTTCTCCTTCTGCTCCACCGACTGGGTCCTCCAGGGCCCGCTCAGTCTCCCCTCCTCCGCCCACCTGCCCCTTCTGAGCACCTGCTGCGGGGACGCCAGGAAGCACGTCTATCACTTCCTCTTCTGTGCACTACCACACGGTTTAAACCTAGCTTCGAACCGTCCCTGGGACTTCCCCACTCTTACATCCCAAGACCCTTGAAACGGGAAGCAATGTCTTCCCACTGTGTGACAGACACACACAGATGCCCCCGTACGCCAGATGCTGAGCTGGGACCCAGTGACGGAAGAAGAGTCAGACTCGTCCTGGTCCTGCTGGAATTCACCCTTGAACAGGGGAGAGAGGCCGGCTTTGGACCCTGGAAGTGAGGTTCCGGGGGGTAACTAGGCCCCGTGTGCCACAGCTGATTCTGTTCTCAGAGAAGAGATGCGTTCCGAGGCTCTCGGGGAGGATGGGAGATCCTCGGCCAGGCGTGAGGTTGTGCGAGGGCACGCCAGGACCAGGGGCCTATGAGGGCATAAACGCCACTCCCACTCTTGCCCACAAACCCACCCCACCTTTGTCATGAGCAACGTTGTGTTGCCGGCCCCTCACTGTCTAAACCGGGGGCCCAGCGCTGGTCCTGGACCACTTCTTCCTGCTGCTTTCCTGTGGGTAAGAAAGCCCTGGCGATCCTCTGCTCACTTAGCTACCAAATTCATCCTTCCTCCCTCCAGGGTCTCACCCTTGTGCTTCGGACGGCTCCCAGGCCTGCCCGTGCCCATCCCACCCTACACAGGTGGGTCTCAGCCTTGCATGTGAGCTTTGAAAACCCTGAGGGGGGTCCCGCCCTGACCAAGTAAATCAGATGGTCCAGGAGTGGGGCCTCTGACTTAGGTGTTTTTAATAACACTCCCTGGTGTTCCTCACGTGCAGCCAGAGTTGATGGCAAATCCTTGGTGTGGGGTCAGGAATGTGTCCCACGAGCTCCCCAGGGGGCCTAGGCACAGTCCAAGAACCATGCATCCATGCAAGGGCACCTTTGGCACAAGGACTAGGACTAACTCACCTTCGTCACAAAGTGCGTCCTACCTGCAGAAGAAGCTGTTCCTTAGTAAGAGGGTTCAGGAGCCTTCTGGTCCCCCTCATTCCCATCAAACTGCAGCTGTGTTGAGCCTTCGGGGAGTCACCCGGACATCCAGCCATCAGGGAACCCTCTACAGCATCTTGTCCTTCCTGCTCATAGAGAGAACTGCAGGACTGCGTGGGGAGTCTGGTTCCAGGCAGCCAGATTCACCGGCCAGCTGAGAGCCTCAGTCCCTCACTGCAGACTCGGAGCCCACGGTCCTCGGTGGCAGATCCAGAAATTGACACGTGACATGTGTTGTGGGCCTCTGGGATTCCTCTCAATGAGCCGAAGCTTTGAGGGCGCAGTCCGGAATCCTTGTCCTCGTCCCTCCCTGCTCTCTTCCTCCTTCTCCTTGTTGTCGCCCTCGAGGGTGACGTCCAGTCTCTGAGCACACTGCGGCCAGGACCTGCTACCTCCACGCCTCCAGGGATCTTCCAGCGATGCTCATGATGGCACGTACTAGGTTATATGGTTTCTGTGTGCATGTGAACTCTTCGAACGTGGGACAACCCGTGTCTGTACCTCTGACATTGAGCCAGGACACGGTGGGAGCCACATCCAGCCACCTGGCCCTCCAGCCACACGAGCCGCGTCTGCCTACCCCCCTTCTCTCTGCAGAGGTGGAGGCAGAGTGGCATCCAGGCGCTCTGTTCCAGGGAGACCTGGGTGCCCTGCACACAACTCCCTCGCCTCCGGCCGACCCCCGCCGCTCGCGCCCACCTTGGCCTACCTGGCGGACTGAAGCGCCTGACTCTTGCCCAGCTCAGCCTTCAGCTCCTTCTGCCCGGTTTCACCTGCTCATCCTCAGTCCAGGGCTCTTCCTGCGTGGGCTCCTGACGCTGCGTCGTTTCTGCGGTGTGACTTCCCAGGCTGTGCTTTATCGGCAAGCAGACCGATTCCCCCGCAGGAGAGGCTGGGCCCAGCGCCGTCTGGCTGGAACGATGAGCCCCACCTCTCGGACCTCACCAGACCACAGGCTTTCATCTTCTTCTCGTTCCTACATCACAATACAGGCCAAAATGTGGCACAATGTTTGCCTTCTTGTTTTTAGTGGGTTCAGTGTGAATACATCTCCAAACAGCAACAGCAAAGAGAATTAGACCTTTCTTCCCGGGGTGGAGGGTTTCAGCTGGGTATGCTTGTGCTGTGCTGACGACCCCCCCACCCCAACCCCATCCTGTGGCTTCTATGTCATGTCAGCTCCAGGCCAGGCTTCCTGTCAGGGCCCCTCCTCACCCAGGACCCATTCTTAGGGTTTTCCCTCTGGTTAGAGGGCAAAGGTCCATGGAAAAACCACGTGACGGCTCTTGACAGTTCTCGAGCACCTGCTGGCCCAGCCCCAGCCTGATGCCACAGGGTGGGGGCAGTTGTCCCTCGGGACAGGCCGGGAAGGACAGGCAGTGAACACTAGGAATAAATACAGCAGTGCAACATAATCTCCCCTCCTGATCACACTGGCTCCTCTCTTCCTTTGACGTGCAAAATAGACTCCACCTTCCCCAAGGGACACCCTCCAAAGTCCCACCAGGCTCCACGTGGAAATCCCAGGGGGCAAGTCAGCACGGGGCAGTGGGAGGGCAATATTCCCTGACTAGTTCCTGGGGCTTCTGCTCCTCGGATGTAGTCTCCGTGGCTTTGGGCTGAGCCTTCAGGAGGGAGGAGCAACAGAACGTCGTGAAGAAAGCATTCACTCCAGCACGGGGAGCTTGGCCCCATCTCCGTTCCTCCGTTTGAGGCAGAGCAACCTAACCACGGTTGTGTTCGAAGTGAAATCGTGATCAGGCCGATTTTCCACAAACTATCGCTTCCATAGATCAGTCCATTATTTTACATATTTTCTTTGCTTCTCCAATGATCTGCAGTTAAGGATCCTATTTCTTTCTGTCTGCGATCACATTTTTAGTGAAATAAAATAGACATCCAAAATACAAGTCGACTTTCTCAATTATTAGATCCAACAGATATTAAATGACTCTGTTCGCTTTGCTGTGAAAGTCCTAAACCCTTACTGCCAAGTTCTGTGCTCGTGTGGTGCTCGCACTGAGTGTCATGGTTCTAGAGAGAGGTTTGCCTCTCAGAGGGTGTCTGCGTGTGTCCGCACCTGTGTGTAACGTTTAGAATCTTCCACCTACGCTTTTTCATGATTAGGAGACTCGGCTCACATCCTGACAAGTTGGACAGGAGAACTGACCCAAATGAGCTGTTTGCACAACACATTTGCACTGAACCTTCTGTCCAGGCTTTGCTTTATTTCTATCATTAAACCTGATTTATCTTTCTTCTTTGTTGTTTTCGGTTAAAACGATTAGTTTTACGTAGCGCTCGGTTTGCTCTCTGGCTTACTAGAGGTGGCGTTCATGTGTGTAACAAGTGTGGGCTTGGGGGGTTTGGTCCCAGTGCCGGGTTGTGAGCGCTACGCCATTCACCACTGATGACGTCATCTCCCTGTTTTCGGACTGCTTTGGAAAATACTCGGTTAACTCCACGAAGGCCATGTGGTGCCCAGAGGCAGACTGTGTATTTTCTGCCCACAAACGTCCTGCCCGTGCATGACACTATGGTGACCTCCGGAAAGGTGAAGGCCATCTCGCTGTTTCCCTGGTTTTATGTTACCATATGTCCTTTTTCCTTTCCCTCTTAGTCACCATATTTGTTCCAACAAATATTTTTTGAGTTCTCTCTAGTGCTAGACACATAGTAAGGATGGAGCCAGTTAGACTCTTAAAAAACTTAAGCAAAAAAAAAGGAACTGATCGGAAGACTATTGAGTCACCTGCAACACCACGAGGAGTCTAGAGAGCGTGTTGTGGGAAGGGGAGCGGAGCAAGGGACCAGGTGTGGCCACAGTCACAATGGGGAGTCACCCAAAGCCACCAGTACCAAGGCCCC